AAAAAAAAAAAAATTGACATGCACAGGGCGTCGATAATTTTTAATAGTCACAGGATTTTTTGTGAGAATACTATGATATACGTCATAGTTCACCATCAGCCAGAGATACTTGAGACGGATGGATACAAAGAAAGAATGCCAGGAATCCATGGCCACAGGGAAAAAAAAACAAGGAGCGGTTATTGAAAATCGATTTTCAACTCCCTCTTCAGCACTATTCACAACGAAAAATCTAGAAACTCGTAAGAGCTGAGAAGGGCATTTTTTTCGACAAAAAATTTTTTTAAAGAAATTTTTTCTTTTCCTTTATCCTTATTTTCTTCACTAGCTCAGTCTTGAAAATAAGTTCAACCGCTCCACAAACATCGTTTTCACCCCCGCTAAACTCTTACCCAAAATGCTTCACTGATTTGAAACAGCCTGTTTAAGCAATAATAACACTACGGTCGCTGCACATACAGACTTGCTTATTTGGGAGATCTAAATGCCATTTTCAGTGCATATGTTGTTAACACATACAGAGGATTTCAGGCCCCCGTTCTCTTCCAGTCTCCTTGTCAAGAATATTTGCTGTATGTATCTTTAAAATTTCTACAACACTTCATAAAAGTAACTTTCTTAAGCCTCGACCAGTCTTCAAGAAGCAATTTTTATGTAGAAAAATAAATTTCACAGCATTTTTTTTTTGCCACTTTCTAACAAATTTTGAGCCCTTATCAGTCCCTCCAAAGTTTGACCAGCATGTCACCGTTAACTATCGGCAAGATTAATACAAAACTGGGGGAGGGGAGGGCGGAGGGCATCTTCCTTCTGTTAGTCAGCCCTACTTATCAGTGCATGGAGCATAATAAATCTTTTGAGGGCAAAAAAAAAAAAACAAAAAAAAAGAACAAATGATTCATCATGGGAGGAAAAAACAAATGGTTCCTTCACTGAATAGAAAATTTTTTCGTGCAAAAATGTTTCATTCGGAAGCAGCAATAAAATATTTTCTGTAAAAATCATAAAATAAGCTCATAAAAATTGCGCCATTTTTCACAGCAACTCAAAAATACTTGAAGTGTGGAAGCGAACAAGTATGTGCTTGGTTGATAACTCGGAGCAGATATTTGGTATATCAGTAGTAGTAGTAGTAGACATCGAAGACCTGTGATGGCAGTGGGTGCACGAGTACTGAAAAGTAAGTCACTGATGATGATGATGATCAGTACTCCTCTCCCTCTTCACCTGCATCCTCCATCGAATCCACACCAACCTGAAATAAAAACAGCTCGTGCAAAAAAGCAATTGCAACAAAATTTAGCATAAACTAATTTATGTTTACCATCAAAATCTCATCGCTCGCATGATAGTAAAGTCTGAGAATAAGTTAACGAATTTCAGTAATTTTTCTTCCTTTTTACTCTTTTCTGCTTCATCTAAATATTACAATCTCGGATTTTTGGGTGCGAACCAGTTAACCGCCTGTCTCTTAACTTAGAAATAAAGCTTTTTTCACAAAACAGGAAATTTCTTCGTGCAAAAAAGTTCCTTTTATTTCTTCTATAGCAAATCTGTCTAGCATTTTGTGCGAAATTCTCACTAAAGCCTTTCCCTCCAATGCAAATATGCACGGAGGTAATTTTATCAGACGAAATAAAAGATATTTTTAAAGAGGCGATGGGATTATCGCTCCTTCATCCTAATTTACCCGTACGGATTAAACTGAGATAAAAGACTGAAAATTTTGTAGTCCAGTCTAGAAATAATCTTTAAAAAAAAAGAGAAACTATTGGAAAACGCATGAGACTACTGAGAAACTATTGGAAGAAAGAAACTATTGGAAAACGTGGAAAAAACAAAGAAAACAGAATGCCGGAAAGAGATTTAAAAGTGAAAATGATAAGTCTACCTCTTCATAGTCTTTTTCCAGAGCTGCAAGATCTTCGCGTGCCTCTGAGAATTCGCCTTCTTCCATTCCTTCACCAACATACCAATGCACGAACGCTCGCTTGGCGTACATCAAGTCAAATTTGTGGTCCAGTCTGGCCCATGCTTCTGCTATAGCTGTGGTGTTGGAAAGCATGCACACCGCTCGTGGTACCTCAAAATTACACCAAACAATATAAAAGGCACCAGCTACAGTCTCACAATCTGGTATTAGCTTGTCTGTAAGCGATCCTCAAAAAAGACGGCCACAGATGGCTTTGCTGTTTGCTACCACTTGAGCTACTTCCTGAGTGCCTTCGCTTCTCACGAAAAATGAATATCAAGAGCTGGCCAAAAAACATAAAAAAAGACGCCAAAAAATGATATCCATGGATAACCACCTCAACGGAGGGATTAAGTACTGGCTAAAAAACAGAAAAAGAAGTCCAGAAATGATAGTCAACGAGGACAAACTCTAAAAGCCTATTATTCTTGCTTCCTCAAAGAAATTTAACTCCGCAATACAGCCAGGCAATTACAGTCGATTTGGATCCGTCTGGTGCTAAATTCAGCGCTCAGCACCCCATTTCATTGCAATTTCCTCATTCATCCAAAATAATTGTTTCCCTTCCTCAACCTCTCCCATCCCCGTCCCCCCCTCCCCCCTCTCCCCGCAGTGCGACAATGATGACAATAACGAGCATAATAAAAATCACATTTTTCTCACTGCCATTGTATGTGAAATTTTCCCCAGACTTTTGTGGATGTCTAATGCCCCATGAACTGAATTCCACAAAAGTGAACTTTTCTCATTCGATAAATTCATAACTATTTTTTAAAAAAAAAAAAATGCTTGACACAAAAATATGCATTAAACGATCAGAACGGTTAAAAATAAAAAAAAAAACACATACTTTGGCGAGGTCTCCGCCCGGAACAACGGTTGGAGGCTGGTAGTTGATTCCAACTTTGAATCCGGTTGGGCACCAATCCACAAACTGGATGCTGCGTTTCGTTTTGATCGTTGCAATTGCAGCATTGACGTCTTTTGGTACCACATCACCACGGAAAAGCAAACAAACTGCCATGTACTTGCCATGTCGCGGGTCACACTACAAAAAATTCTAGCAGTTACTGCTCTTTTTCAAGTAAGAAACCTAAAACCGAAGAAC